AGCTGTTAAGAAAGACAAACATTAACATAAAGCATACATACAGTACATCCAGAGACTGTCGCCAGCCAACAGATACATTTCACACTACCGTCATGGCAGTGTAATGTGTAATGTTTAGGTAAGATTAAAAAAATACATTAAAAAAAATAAAAGTCTTACACTTTGGTGTTCAGGTAGAGTCAACCTGTGAATGTTCTGCTCATGGATAACCACTGGTGAGTGGTCTCCAATGGATTTGGGGTCAAATACCACCACCTCCTTTTTTTTACATCGAGAATGAGGAAGTGTTTGTATACAGCTGTATCTCATGTATCGCACATGAAACCCAGGATGGCAGAAAACGTTATCGTGTAGTTGTTAGCAGTGCCGCATCTACATTCATTAGTGTGAACAGGATTGGTGAACTGACGCACCGTTGGGGGTTGCCGCTGTTCATGGTCACGGATTTCGACAAGGTCACGTTCACCCTATCTGCTCGGTACGGTTGGTGAGGAATGAGGAATACCGCTTAGTGCAAATCCTGCTGAAATTGGGTTGGAATGCTAAAAGCTGAATTAATATTTTTTTAATTCCTGAAAATCCGCTGCATCCTCTGTAGTTTGTATACAGAGCAAATCATTTGACTTCTCTTACAGAATTTGAAGCCTAAAATGGATAAAAGGGGTGTAGTGAATCACAATATCCTGATTAATAAACTTTTCCCGAGATTCTCTTCTCTTGCTGAAATCCTACCTTGAAGGAAGAACCCAGTGTGTCAGAGTGGTTGATGTTTAATCATCTACTCAAAGATCTATTGTGGGAGAACCCCAGGGTTCTATTTTGGGACCTTTACAATTCAGTTTATACATTAATTATGTATGTATGTTCTTCACAAAGAGTGCTTGCTATGTGGCCCCGGAGCCAGATGTTTATGTTGCTGGTACGAGGCTGCAGGTAGTGTCACATTCTAAATATTTAGGCATTATTTTGTATTTTTATTCTTTTAAAAAACAGGTAAAACATGTGATAACGGTCTTGAAATGTAATCTCGTTAAATGTAGCTACATAAGACACTGTTTAACCAATGCAACGCATGCTTTAGCCTGGTATGGTTGCTCTAGTCTATTGTCGTACACTTTTCTTTTGCTGTGTATTGGTTTTGTCCATACGCTATTGTGCTTTTGTCTATGAAGTTTTATTTTAATTACTTTGTTGTTGACGGGTGGTTTAGCTATGGCTGTGTATGCATCTTTTACATTACCATAGCACTTGTCTTAAGTCCGATTCGTCTTGGTATTACAGTTAACATACTGTTCAAAAGCTGGCAATGTGACGTTTAAATTGCAATCATCAAAGTCTCCCATAATGAAAAATACATCAAATAGCAAAACTGTGTCAACCCTTCTGAGATATATCAATCCTTATAATTAGATCGATTTTTAAAAATCATCACATCAGCCTGTAAACACGCGCCACTGGTTCAGCCTCCTCTGCCTGTACACGCCCACATTCAACCATAAAAGCAGTTTATTAATCCATAGAAACAAGCTGCTGAATCACAGCAACTAGCGAGAGGAATAACACTCGTTCCCTAATTCCAATCCTTAATTCTTCCATGTACACAGTTCTAACATTTCCAATGGTGCACGAGTGTCACCATAGAATCTATGTTGACTGCAAGTACTGCTAGCGTCCTCATTTAAAGAAAGATTTGATTGGTGAACACTAATTGAACACTAATTTTCACAATGGTTCTGGGCCGGTGGGGGATAATTTGTGCGTGCGACAGTCACTACGGGGCTTTTTACAGTTCAGTACAGTTTTTACAGCCTGTGTACTGTATGCTGACACTTTGGCATAAACCATTAATAAATAAATGCAGAAAGTGTTTTTTTTTTTTACTCAAAGTCAAATAGAAAAGAAAAAGTTACATGCATCATTTAACGACTTTTGGATCAAAATTTGATGACAGATGTGGAGTGCTTGTGCTGTCAGTATGATCAAAGCACACACACACAACACCAAAGAAGCAAGGTAGCGAATTCTTTTGTTTAAATGATAACTAAGGATCATTTTCTTAACTTATATTGTTGTATATTTAGTCGTGGATATTATATTCAGTAGAAGTATTTAAAGAGCTTCAGCCATTTTAAAACCCTCATACATGATACTTCTACAACATTCTAAAAATATAAGTAAATATGAGCTCAGTCGTAGAATAAATTTCCCTAGGAAAAATAAATGAAATACTGGAAGCCTTTTATGCCATTGTAAAGGTCTTACATTAATATAAACTATATTAAAGGTCTATGGTGTCTGAATTAGATATTCTGTGCAAGTCCAAATATGATACATTTAGTTAGACCATAAAAACAGTATATCCACAGCCACACTTGACAATATCAGAGAGAAATATGTAAGAGCCAACGACAATCCCCACAAAGCGATATGAAACATTTGAGAGATTCCTCAAGTTCAAGATCAGCTGAGACAATATTACATTTTCTCTCACATATAGCAGTTCCTTCCATTATATTGCATTTTAAAATATCCTCTTAAGGAGATGGAGACATTTTATTGGAACTATTTCTATAGTTATTGATTAGAAGAAGCCTGATATCTCCAGACAGTGCCAAATCAATATTACAGAGCTATCTCATATCTAGCTGTCTAATGCCTCCAGTTATCTAATATTTTCAGTTTAGAGGTCAAGGAGTGGGAGTATTCTCCAAGAAATATAACTTAGTGCAGAGAAAGAGGTTTTTTGTAGTCCTTTGTCATATTTGATAAAATGCATTACACAAGACAGGCATGATGCCTTAATGAGTTATTGATAAGAGTATCTTGATCAGGTATTGCTGGTAGCTGAGATTCACCATCAGAGGACAGACAGACTGCCCACCTGCCTGCACATCCCCCATGGTGGGTCTTCAGACTGCAGGCATGTAGGTGGGTGGGGGTGAGGATTATCCTGGCGGTTCAGAACAGGGTTCCTGCAGCACCGAGCGGGGCTTGGCACCACCGGGAGAACTCTGGATAATGAGCAGCCTTTGTGATGTGCGATGTGTGAAGGCTGAGCCGGGGAACAGAATTGAAGCGAAGGCCTCCGTCTAAAGCCACGTAGACGCAAAGCCACGCGCCTACTTTCTCTCCTCCACAAATGTTTTATGAGATATCAAACCTTTCTGCCATTCATCTTATTCTCCCACTGGAAATCAGGGAATAAGTAAAGCACAGTTAACATAGCCAGGAAATTTTAGAAAATAAATACTTGTACAGACACATGTAGAATTTTAAAGACAAACTGAATCTTGAATTTTAGATAAATTAATAAACTCCTTTCTATAGCAAATACATCTTAAACATGTTTTAAAGGAAAGATTAGTGACAATTTGCATGGAGTAGAAACTGCCGGATGACTGGGGAGGACAGGACACCCTGATCTTTACTCCCACTACATTATGTAATGCACTTGTCATTGCTGCTTAACATATCATGCTCCGCCCGTGGAACTTCCTACTCAGAAAACAGATTTATATTGTGTAATTAAAGAGACTCTTGTGTGCGGGCATAAGCACACCCAGTTTCCCCTCGTTGGCACTTAACTGCCGGACAACTTATTTCACACTTTACAGCTCAATCTCATCGACTGAACAAAACACATTCCTGCTAGAAATGGCACGATAATGTTGGAGTTATCAAAAGGAGCAGGTTCTACTTGAGTTACTGTTGTCAGCAAGGGCTGAAAACATTAACAGCTGCCTGCTGCTCAAACATCTCCAAACGCAGCAGAATAAAGTGCTGCTCATTGTGTGGGCGTCAGTTCTGCATCGGGATGAAAAGAAAAGGCTTGTAGATGGAGACTCAGAATAGCAAGTGACTAGAGTGGGATTTATTTTTGCATGGACCGCTGCACCCATTGGCCTTTCGCCTATTTAAAGTTGCATAGTCAATCTCTAGTGTGCTCTCACGCTAAGGAGGGAGCGATCCCGTGAAATCCTTGCTCGGGCATGATGTTTTTTACAGCCAAGGAAGGATGCGTTTTCTTCCTTGAGAGGCAAATTTCTCATTACTGCTTTTGGCAACCATTTGAATATCTTTATGGACTTCATTTCATGCTTGACCTGCATTTCATTGCAAATGTAGGCCAAAATGCCAAAGACAAAATGGCTAGCTTTGAACTATCAGAAATGGAAAAATCAGTTTTTATGTATTCAAGCTCAACTCAAGTGGTTCAAGATTGTCAATTTTTGCTCCGGTGTGAGTTGGATTTTCAAAAATGAACCCAATTATCTGAGAGATCAAAGTACAATATTAGCTTCCAAGTGGTATAACTATGATAGGTTTGTACTAGTCAAGAACATATTTGTATTCTTTCAAATGCATTCATATTCAGTTATATTACTACTATATATAGAACTGTTAGTAACAGATTCCACAATTTCCATGATGGATTCCAATTACTGTCACATCCAGAGATTGAAAGAAAAACGCATTAAAAGGAATCCGAGATTTCACTGATAACGGCTTAACAGTTTCCTCTGTTCCATAATGTCACAGCTGTATAACGTCCACCTGGTGTTTTTGTTGAGCACCCACAAGCATGCAGTACAATTTTTTATGTCGTCACTGTTCCGAACCAAAGTGCCAAAAATTGTTGCAGTTTCTATCCATTTTAGCCTGAGGTCTTTGTGTGACATTGTCACACTTATTAAGTTAATAATTGACTTATAGCCCAAAACCTTTTTAGTGAGGTCAGAGGGACCTTGAAGAGACCAAATACTAATCAGCTCAACCTTTTGATAATAACCAAAGTCCCAATTCCCTCAAGGCGTTGGTGAGATATCGCCCCCGTGAGAGCGGACTGGAAGCACGTACAACCCATAAAAATGAGGCCTCAGGAGGGGCTGCTGCCGGTCAGAAGAAGCAAATTACCTTTTCCACCAGCAACTTCATTTAAGGGTACCACATGTTAGAGGGGTTGCGGCCTTCGACCGCGGGTGCCAATAAGGACACTGATGTCGGTGGGCAGAAGTCACTTTATTTAACATGGAAGTCTCCAAGTTCCTCGGTTGATTTGTAAAGGTTAAATAACATTGTCTTGAGTCCAACAGTTTCAACATTAATACATTCCACCTTAGTTAAGCAATACACCAAGTAATTGATTTAGTTGAGTCTGCAAGGTCAGTTAGACATCAGGGATGTGATGTGAGCAACTGTGACCAGAAGGGCCCACATGATCTGCATCATCTGATATTGCCAGAGATCATTTAGCTCAGAGGATAAATACAAAAAAAATCATCAAAGGAGGGTTTTTTTTGAGAATATTGTATCCTTTTCACTCTCTATGAAAGTTAGTCTGATCATATTAGAAGAAAAAAAATCTAGAAAACATGAAAAAAGTGAAAAATGTAGCAAGACTTTTCATGTCCACTCGTGTGTTTGAAGTCTGCCAGTGGAAGAGTGATGCAGTGCAGTGAAACCAGAAATAAAACCAAACCTCCAATACGGCTTTTTTTGCCACCTCCAATTCACTGAAGCATGAGAGCGACTGAGATGACCAGAGGCAGCAGGAGGCCAGGAGACACGCTTCTGCTTCCTGAGGCGAGTGTCGCCCCATACTGGTCCAGGAGCTGCAGGGCTACACCATTGGTCCAGCCAAAGCCCAGCTACAGAAAGAGCAACACAGCAACTCTTAAAATTATGCTTTCAATTATACGTAGCACTTTAGTAAAGCAGCAAAATACAGTGATTGCTGTGAAACACTAAGAAATAAAACGAGTGACTAATTTCTGCTGATGGTAGGAAACCTTAAGTGAAAGGTAGACAACAACAAGACCCAACAGGGTAAGATAATTATACAAAAAAAGATAAGGAAAAAGACAAAAGAAAAGGAGATAAGAACAAAGAAGTGAGAGTATGGATTATGAGCATGCAAATGTCTTCACGTTAAGAGGCAGAAATGAGGTTAGGAGCATCGGCAGCAATCAACATGAAAGAAAGACTTTAAACAGATTAGACACCGTCAACACATGAAAGAAAATACCTGAACTTCATATTCTCCTCCACCACCGGGTTTGCCATCGCCGTTCACGTCATACTTTTGGGGGAGGGGGAGAGAATGACACATTCTGAGCCAGCTGTCGTATCACTGTGCAGCACAAGCGCAGACTTTTGGAAACCACAGATTTCTCACCTTCTCAAACATGGCTTCATATTTCAGGTACGCCAGCCAGTTAGTCTTGATCCAACGCTGTGCCAAATCAAATGCAAGTTGATTAGCATCGTTTGAAGGCAGTTTGGATAAACCTAGAAATACAAAAATATTATTTATTTATTCAAACTTAGTTTTACAAATTGTTTACGCAAAATCCCTTTGCATGCACAGGTTTTAGGGCCAAAGATGAATGTAGCTAATCATGTACCACTACGCGCACTATGACCCTTCTGTGCTCAGAGACCACTCCGTAGCAGTCAATGTAATTTATTGAATTTCTTCATTAAATTCAGGGTCAGAACTTGCGCAGCGCTAAATCCTTGGTACGGTAATTCCACAGAAGTTAAGGTAAAGGTCTTCCCCTGAGACCATTAAATGTCGACTGGATTTCTCTGAAGAATTTTGCCTTTTACCCGAATCAGACTGTTGAACATGGCGGCCCAAATCTGGGTGTACCGTGCATCCACAAGGAAGCATGTGTGCATGTATGGAGGAAAATCAATGTCAAAATCGGAGAGCGCAAATCAGGTCCACCGATCACAGTGCATTTTCAGTACAGGTTTAAACTGCTTACTGATACCAACCATGGATGAGCATGTGTTGTAGAGGAGGCCATGCATTAGGATAGTCCCACTGCTGGCCAGTCTCTCTTAGCGATGTTGGGACTCCATTCGGGAACTGCAGAGCACTACTTTCCTGCACAGACATTCAAAACCAGCAACCATAAGTGCATGCATGGATCTGAGCAGTGCGGTGTGTGCGCGCCATCTGCTGGATTTAGTGGGAACATTTTATTGAGGGTTGAGGTGGCGCAGGGGGTAGAGTGGGTATGCTGGGAACTGCAATGTAGGTGGTTCGAGTCCCGGCTGCCCCATGTCTCAAGTCGAAGTGTCCCTGAGCAAGACACCTAACCCCTAATTGCTCCCTGGGCAAAATGCAAAGCCATGGGTTTAAGGTGTAATGTAAGTTGCTTTGGATAAAAGCGTCAGCTAAATGACCTGTAATGTAATATTTTTTGTAACTTTGTAGCTAATTGGGCATCTAGGCTTTGGGCTACTGACCTTAGAGATGCACATTTAGCCATAACTCTTTAGTTAGTTAACAGAATAGAACAAATCATACTACTACTGTGTGGGAAAGGGCAAAGTGTGCTTCTAACACAGGCCGGCCTGCCTCACGTACACCATCTTTATCTCGGACCTCAGTAATCAACATAAATAAATGTACACTCGTTTTGACAAGATACACAATGTACGGCAATGCTAATTTATTGAATAGCAATAGATTGTAAGGTTGCACCTAATAAAGTGGTCACTGAATGCATCCTCAGAATATTTGATCAGGTTTTGGACAATACCCAAAAAACATTGGCGGCGCAGGGTGAACTCATTTGAACCTTCCTATATTAGTGTGTTTTATATTTATTTTCCTCTGTAAACCCAAACTTATGTTTCCAAAATACTATTAGTATCAGTATCAATTAGAAAATGTCTTTGATAATCTCCGTCCAAATTGGCAACACCTCTACTATATTGTGGTTGCGTCAGATGTCTCACATTCCGGTAACAAATCTCTAGCAGGTAAATTGGGGAAAATATGCAATTTCCAAGATGAGACCACAATGAAGACTAAGATGTCCACCAACCTTCAGATACTTTACTGCATTCTCTGCCATGTCAGGCCGAGAGTAGCACTCTGCCCAAACAGGTGCCAGGTTTGAGGGGTAAAACTCAAAGCGTTTGGAGCGTGTCATCAGGTTGAAGTCAAACCAGGCTCCCCGCTCCGCATCCCACAGCACGGACTCGATCGCCTCCACTCTGCGGGCTGCATATTCGTCATACAGAGCGCTTGAGTTGCCATCACCTGCCAGGAAACACCAGTTATGTAACACCGGGTGGGAAATAAAAGTGGTGTGAAGGCTACAGTTAGTTCCAAGGTCAAAGGCTGCCTGTGTAATCACCCAGTATCCTGTGAAATGTAGCAAGAGTCCTCTCGTTGAGGCACATGAGAGCATTGAGGTCAGTGGGCACGATCTGACTGGTGCTGGTCTCCCCCAGGCTGCCGTTAGTGCCGTCGTACCCGGAAGCGTACCAGCGGGAAGTGAAATCCCAGCCTGATTCTGCTCCCGCTTTCAGATCCATCCACAGCTGCTCCTTACGCACTGAGGGCAAGGAAAAAGCATCTACTGCAACGGAGAGCCACAACTAACCGGCATCCGAAGTGTCAAATATCCAACATATTGTTTGATTTTTAAATTGCTTCAGAGACAAAAGAAAAAGGAATGTCTCTGCCAATAGTAGGGAATTACTGATGAGTTTCTATGAAAAATAAATATGGATTAAATATTGAAAACAAAATAAAGAAAACTTAAAACTAGCTGTTCAGTTAAAATTGTCAGCATTATATATTCATACCATGGTACGGAGGAATATTCAGAAGATATTTGTATTGCACAGATGATCAAATCAAAAAGATATTCCACTTCTACCAATTGGAAACAATATATTTTTTCCAGTGATATCTTTAGATCCGTTGTGTTCTCAAACTCAAAAGGTGGACTCATTCAGCCACCAACAATATAAACACTAAGAGTTTACCATTCGTGAGTCCTTCAGCCAATTCCAGATCATCTGTGTAGGATTCTGGCCTATTAAAAAAAAACAGTAGGCAGAGCCGTATACACAAAACCGAAATTGTATTTGATTGTGTATTATATTTATTTTAGAGCGTACCTGGGAAAGTCCACCTGCACGTGGTACCGGTTCATCAGATGCTCCGTTCCATTTAGTGGCACCCTCACAGACCGGTTGTGCATCCAAAAATTGTACTCCTGCTCCAAAGCCGGTAACGCTGCTCTAAACCAGGTTTGTGCAGACAGCAGAGATAGAATACTTCAAGGTCCTTAAGATCGGCACACAACATGAAACTTGGAGCGTCTCCTTTTCATATCAGAAGCAGACGAGCGTTGAGGTTTTGTTGTTTAATCTGCTTTTTGTCTGTTCTGGGAGAGACTAGAGGAAGCTGGAGAATGACAACATGCTTGGCAGGACTTCAGCTCAGAACTAAATATCACCTGAGGAACTCTCTGTCCTTGGTTGCTCGATAGTAGCTCTCCACCATGAGAGTGAGGAATGGAGGCTGACTGCGCCTTTCATAATAAATCCGCCCACCGTTTGGAACGAAGCCATATCTGTAGCAGTGATTGAGGAAAAAAAAAAATGTTATTTCACAAATCTTAAAACACCAGAGAGCTCGCTATCCAAAATGCACAACCTGCGTTGCTGAATGACTTCTTCAAAGTGAGCCCCGGCTGAACTACATGCAGCGAGCTGGATTTGTGTCTTCTTTTAAAGTGCTATGAAAGACTAAATGTGCTTTGGGGCTTACCGGTTAACGAGGTGGAGGAAGTTCTGTATCATCCCGCGGGCCGTGTCGGTCATCTCTGACAGCAGGAGCCCGTTGATGACCCAGTAGGAGTCCCTGAGGGGCACACAGAGAGGCGGAGGTCACTGTCCCAGCAGAGACGGGCCAGGACAGGCGGGTTGTCCGTCCTCACTGACCCGGCGCGCCTTCATTCTCAGACGAGAGCGCGGCTTCGTCGTTGTTCACTCACCAGTAGTAGAGCTCCCTGAAGCGGCCCCCGGGAACTACCACGGGGTGTGGGGTGTATATTTGCGAGTAGAGTTCTGGCTGGTCTCTAACACCTGCACTGATCTGCAGGAGAAGTCATTGATTTTATTCATCAACAATGTCGTTCTTGATGAATCAGAATCCTCTCAGTAAATCATGTGGTTACCAAGTCATTTAAAAAGATGAACATTGATTTTACTAAAGCCCATTTGCCAAATGACAAAATGCTCGTTTGGTCCAAACGTACAGAACAAAACCAGAAAAGATTTTCAATCTACCAACTGTCCAAAATAATTTACAAAATGACTGGAATGATAATCTGAGAAGGTGTGCGACGTTTGGGTCTTGGAGCTCCATCACTCACCTTTCTGCCGAGCGACTTCCACAGTAAATGAATCTTTCCTGCCCACTTTCTTAATTCTTCGTCTGCTATTCCTTCCAGGAACTTTGGCCTGCATTTTAGAAAATAAAGTCACGTCAATCAAGCAGACTCTAAAAACCCGTCACTGTGCTACGTGAGTATTAACTGGTTCCCACTTGTCATGCCAGTCTGGTGGAGTCCACGACTCAAACTCTGTCCCTGGTTTCTCAAAGTATGCGTTTAGGAACTCCTTCAGTTTCGCAGGCGCGACCATCTGGTTCGCAGATTCATTTGTAAGGTTGCGAAAAGCAGACAAAACCACATCTGGAGAAGACACAAAGAGCACCCGCAGCAGCCAAGTAATGAGGAAATGACCTGGAACAAAATAAACGTACCGACTGACTTACCAGGAGATTCCCTCAGCTTCATGTCAACAAAGTACTTGTCATCGTCGAAGAATTTGGCCATTTGCACTTGATGCAAAATGGGCCCACGGCAGTAGATTTGACTGAAATTAATGTAAACGGTTGTTAAACAGATCCGATGTACTAGTGTGCAAGTACAAAGTCTATCAGCACAATAAGGTCATGTGGGGGCAAAGGTTAGTTTAACTCTTGCTTTGAGAATTCTATGAAAGAAAAACCGCAGTACTCTGCCCGCTATTCTTTCCCCCCTCATTAGTAAAAGTGTAAAGAATCAGACGCTGAGGGGTTCAGCGGCATATTAACCAAAGCTTCATTTCTGAATCAACATTAAGAGTGATCAAGTGTCCTGTATAGAAAAACCTTTTGAATAACAGCTTGTCATTTCTCACCTGTCACATGGTGGTGGAAAAGTGTTATTTACACAGGCGAAGAGCGCCACCAAAAAAAGGCTAAAAGGTCCCAGCGAGCGCATCTTGAGCTTTGAGGGTCCAGAGTAAGAGTGAGTCTGCGTTCTGAGGAACGCCTCCAGGTCAGAGTTGATATTGCAACACATCAGATTAGAACCACAGCAACATCTGGATATCAGTCATTTTACAAGGAACTGAAGTGCTTGCAAAGCAGAGTTAATTTTGGCAGCTATTTTTGATTGTCTTAAGACGAAAATGCATTTTAGTTTTAGTCACATTGTCATTTAAACTAGTTTAATTAGTTTTAGTCTAGTTTGTCGACAAAAACTAGACTAAAATGTAATTAGTTTTAGTCACATTTAACATTAAACTCCTTTTCTTCCCTTCTCAGGCCCAGGGACCCCCTGTGTTGTCTCTACACTTGGTTGTCCATTAGATGTCCCTCCTAGGACAGGTCTATAGCAGGGGTCGGCAAACTTTTTGACTCGCGGGTTTTCCTCCACCTGCTCTGTGCCGCCACGTCCTTCACCTGCACTGCGCAGTTCTATCAAAAGGATTTACCTGTCACGCCAGAGAACAGAGCAGAAAGGTCCGACAGTCTGTTAAACGGGTCTTCATGTTTCCGTGAAGCAGCGCGGCTTCAGCCTGCTAACAGGCAGCTAAACAGAGACCGCTGAGCTAAACTAACGAAGCCACATTCAAACCTCGCCGAAGCGTAAAATAGTCGTCGCGGTCCGCAGTCGGTGCACAAGAACCACCGCTGCACCGCTGCGAGCGTTATGGGTTCGTGGATGACGTCATCATGACGCGTTAATATTCAATTAAATTCATTTTATTTTGTATAGCCCAAAATCGCAAATTACAAATTTGCCTCAGAGGGCTTTACAGTCTGTACACATTCAACATCCTCTGTCCCGAAACCCACCATCGGCACAGGAAAAACTCCCCACAAAATGAAAAAACCTTCCAAGAGGGAAGAAACCTTAGGGAGAACGTCAGAGGAGGGATCCCACTCCCGGGATGGACAGACTACAATGGATGCCATGTGTACAGAATGAACATCCGCCGTAGGGGGCCGTACTTTGCCGGTGTTCGCTGCATGCGGATTTAGGGGGGGAGGGGGGAGTATTGTGGTCAACATTTGTCTTAAAAGTTAGAATAGATTTAGTTAGTTTTTATGACTAGTTTGTCACGTCTTCGCCTCGTTTCGGTCATGGAAAAAAGGTCGTTAACGAACATTTTTGGTCATAGTTTTCGTCGACGAAATTAACTGTTGCAAAGGACAACAAAAACAGTAAATTTCAGTGAGCTTTATTATCAACAAAACTTTCAATAGAATCCAATAATATTTAAGACATTTTTCAAACTCAAGTCCAATTTAGCATCACTGAAAATCTTTCCAATTAAACAACCAAATTTTCATAAAATAACAACGGAGTCTTTAATTATTTCTTAAACTTGGAGACTTTTAAACAAGGTTAACTCCACTTTAACGTTTCATTTGAAAAAGAACTAGGGCAATTTTGCAAACCTTTGTATATCCATTAACATAACTTTGGAACTTGATTGTATCTTGTTTTATTGCCAAAAGGCTCCTCCCCATATTATTTTACTGATGCATCAGTTCTAAAAGAAATCCTCACATCCTCAACAGCAGGTAAGCGGCCAGATTATACACAAGATGTTATTGTTTCAGAACCATCGAGAGGGGACGAACATGTGCATCAGGGCAGCAACGGCATCAATTTAGCCACCCCACAAATCGGAAAAAAAAAAACACCTTAAAGAATGAGACAATAAGTTACTAACTAAACCAATTACGTTGCCATTCAAGGGGCAAGATGCTCTTGTCTCAGTCTTTAAGGTTCTCACAAGGCAGCTGCTGGCAGTAAAGCAGCATGCCATCAAAAAGTAGTACTACATTACATCTTGAGGCATCGTCAATTTTTTGCTGCGCGAGCATTTCGCTGCTTCACTGCCAGCGGCTGACAACAGGCAGCTGCCAGGCTCCTGCGCCATTAGATCCCTGCTCACTCAACTAATGTTTCACTTAAGTTATAATGCGTTTAAGAAGGCCCTCCCGCCCAAACCAAGCCAAATTAGGTGTACACGTATTCAGGGGACCAGAGTTGAGAGAACAGGGATCAGTTCTAACCAATGAGAAATAAAACGGTGACTTTTTTTTAAAACTGATTAACAGTCATTTAAAAAAATTAAATGTGCAATACTACTTCTCATTGGCTAGAAGTCTAGAGAGCATCTCACCATAACAAAGGGAACCGTGTCTGCAAAAAGATTTCCGCTGATCAATCGGGTGGTCAGAGGACCTAAATGCAGAACAAGGTTAATATATTGCATAAAAACGCAAGAAAATATATTCCAAAATCCGAAATAAACAAGGGCAGAGAAAAAAAGCCATGAACTCAGCAGTCTGAGGTGCCCACAGTATTTTCTAAACAAGCAGTCCGACTAATTGTATTATGCAATGCTTTATGCCAATTTCCCCCTCTGCCATTCATTGTTTTTAGATCTGCATCGCACTTTTCTCCCATTTGGGCATTATGGGTTTACAAAAAGCAGCGCAGTCAGTGTAATTACTGAACCATCTCTGTGCAGCCCAACCTGCGCGGGTCGCTTTTAAATTGAGCATCTTGTGCGAGCTGGTTTTAAATCAAGCCAGCCAGCCAGCAATGCACGGAGTGGATTCCTGCTACATTTTAGGTCAGATGGTTCATTTTGATGCATTTGGCAAAAAATCTTCAAAAAAGGGGAAGGGGAGGGCAGAAATGCACAGCTTCCTCCTCCACATTTGAAGTGCTGTAGCAGCGCTTACTGAGCACAGCACATAACAGCCAATACCTCCCCTGGAAAATAAAGTCTCTGCCAATTTGGCTGCACTGCGAGAGCGAGTAGTACTACTACATGATAGAATATGGTTCTCGTCCAATAACACCAATTTCTACAACAGGATATCTTCGAGTGAGTCTCAAGGGTCGGTTTCACAAGTTAAGGCTGGTGACTAAGAATTCATTACTCAAATGCACAAGATTGACAAAACTGTCAGTCTTGACTGAACACTTTAACACTGATAGCAGGAGAATAAGGGCAACAATTGTAAGGGCTAAAGATTATCAGTGAACTCTGCCTCCAAAATAAATTTCATGCACAAGCTCTTTAAATGTTTTAAATTCCAATAAACTCTGCAATTTTTAAAATCATAAATAAATGCACAGGCCAATATTGCAGATCAAACAAAAGTTAAGAAAACAGTCCAGTGCTAACAAGGTGGGGGAGGGGCAGTTTGTTGGCCAGCCTTTTGAATTTGTTTAAAACAATCTTAAAATGAAGGTATATACACAGGATTTAAGGTGCAGCCGACATGTTGGCTACACATCTCGCAGAATAAAGTATGGCCATCCATAGGAAGGTGAAACACAGGACGAAAAAAAAAAAAAAGTGTTCAACAAGTAAACTCCACCAGAACAGGAATCCTCATGACTCGTAGCGCTGAGAGGCTGCTCCTTCGTATTTAGTGTGAAGACAGGAGGAAAGGTTCTGGGTATTTTAGAAGCACAAGCTTCCACACGAGCCACTGGACAGTCTGGCTGTCTCTTGGAACAAAATCCAGCATCTCTGTCCATGGAACATCCAAGTTCGTCAGCCAGACTGAAGTGTGCAGCGAAGCCAGCAAAGAAAGGTCATTCAGACCGGCTTCCCTCCTAATTACCTCCATTCTGTCGCAAATAGATGACGAACCAAGGAAAAAGAAAGCTATGAATTCACCTACGAGATCGGACATTAAATTAGAGTGACAAATTTTCAACTAGGCGACCGTGAGTGGTGTGAAGTGAGCGAGATGACGGAGAATGAAGGGTTATTACTTTAGAACGAGTCGATCTGCTTGTTAAGGCACTTGATACAAATTGGTTAAAACTTCCCAAAATAAAAACATGGAGAATTGGATGGTGTCATATAGCGGTCTGTTGGTGCTGGCTTTGCAACATTGGTGGATATGAATCTTCCCAATGTGCATGGATACATTTGACTTGGTCCCATGCTTTCCTCCCGGTGCTTAGGTCTTCAGGTGTGTTGGTGCAGCTCAGAGCCCTTTAAAAAGGCAATTGAGTTCTTTCTGAAACGCGTCCAATCAAAATACAGATTCCTTATGGTGGCCTCCAAAACAGGAAGACTGACAAACTGTACATAAATGAAAAACGAGAGCTCCAAGACGGGGGGATGAAGGGAAAAAAATACAATGGGGAATCGAGGTTGGACTGATCTGTAGAGAGAAGAAAGAACCAAGTTAGTTGCTTGGAAAAATGTGTGTCTTGTAACTCCTGATGCATTAGAACTCAAAGTTATGAATAGTCAAGAATTGAATAATTTCAGTATGCAGGCTGAATAAAGTGTATATGTACAATTTGCATCCAGGTAAACTTCTCCACGTAAACTTATAAATAAACATAAATCCACTTGATTATCTAAATACTAGGGTCAAATATCAAAGTTAACTGCATTAAAATATCTTCAATTAACGCGTTAACAGCTTTGTTTACTTCCGATGTGCGTTGACCCCTGACACAAAACCGCAAACCGCCGTGTGCTGCAATCAGTTAGATCGCAGAAAGCAAGATGGTAGCTGAAGATGGAGCTTCTTGCATTGGAAGTAAAACAAACAGGTGCTACATACAGCGGAGAACTGCAGAGGAATTCCTCCACATGTCAAACAGTTGTATGCTAAGCTAGCTGCTAGGTTACTTCCATCTCAACATTAGGATTTGCATCTAGAAAAAAAAAAAAAAAAGAAAATCCTAGTTTTAATTTTACTCATGGAAAATCTTGTTCCAGGATTCTTCGGGTTACAACTTATGTTTCATGGTGCTTTGAGAACTGCCGTCTCAAAGCACGGAGGCCATTGCATTAAGACAGTTATTGAACATTTGACATGTTTCAAGGTGTTAATAGTCCTCTCCCGGAGCTCGCCATTACACGGCACGGCTGTAAATGCACAAGGTAATGACCGTAATAAAGGATAAATCACCTGTGGTTGTCAGTGAGTTTTATCAATGCGCCAGCAGGCTCAATAGCGGAGCACAATAATATCTATTCTGACTTGTGTGGTAAAATTGCCACACAAGCCAAATTGCTGAACCAACATCAAAAGACAGGAAATTTGAAAACGGGGTAAATTATGCTGAGCGGTGCGTGAACTCACTGGCTCATGGCTTGATTTCTTCACCACTCTCACTGTGGTACTCGGCCACATACAGGCTCTTGTCGATGATGCCGGGGATGGGCTTGATTTCTGTTCCCAGCTGCTCCTCAATCCCTTTTAGGTTGAAGCGATCATCATACGTGATGAGGTTGATGGCCAGACCCAAGTGTCCAAAGCGGCCTGGATATTAGAGGTGTGAAGGGTCAAATCATCATTTCATCACAATCTTTGGAGTCACCCTAAAAAGTATTACACTGCACAGTTTAATACAAGTAATATGGGCTCTTACCAGATCTACCAATGCGATGAAGGTACGTTTCTCCCAGCTTGGGGAAGTCGAAATTGATCACAACATTCACAGCTTGTATGTCAATTCCTCTTGTGAAGAGGTCTATAAGAAAAAATAAACCAACATGAAATCATCAGGAGCAAAAGGGTACGAGTCCGCCGAATATTATATGTCATAATATGTCAATATTATGACAAATCTACCACAAACCAAACCGAAGTGTAAACAATACAGAGCCGTTTTGCATGTGTGTGTGTGTGTGTGTCACACGACAGTTATCCAGTGTACGAGCATCACAATCCAATCAAGGTGCCAAAACCCTCCCATCACTGAAACGCAGGGCAGCAGACCTCTAAACCAGACGCCTTTGTGCACATAATACATTGCGTTACTTCCTCTTGACAGTTAAATACCACACGCCTCACGCGACAGTCCTTTGGGTTCCTTAGTAGCAATGGGTATAATCCATTTTTGCTTTTGTTATTAATGTGAAGTAAAAAGCTGGTCGTTATGTGGTAGTTGGTTTTAGTACGGCATAGCTGTATCATTTAATTGTTGAATTGCCACAATATTTCGGTAGCAATCATTCAAAAAAATAATGTCTGCCTTTTTTTAATTTAACCATATGTAGTTAGAGAACATCCCCTAGCAAAAGTCCAACACATCAAATTCCCAAATTGTGAGGATTTAGTTCTGTATATATTTAAGTAGCCCAGCAGTTGTATCAACCTTTGTAAGTAGTCAACCACCACAAAGACCATAATATAAAATAGAAAGTTACAATCAATAACACTATGTATCGTCAGTTTTCTAATCAAACTGGATGAATTTAAATAAAAATAAATGTTTCTCAATTCAAATTGCACACATGAATACATAAAAATATCTCTTGAAATAAAGTATTAGATTTTAGGAAATTATTTTTTCTGCTGCTTTAAATTAAGTATTCATGGTGAAGTGAGGTCAGCCAAGGAAACCATTATATTTTCTTAAAGAATAATGTGCAGAAAATTTGTGGTTGATGTTTCATAGTGGTGCTTGAAATAGTTTGTCTGGAGTTGCGATGCCAATTGGAATAAACTTATTTGATCGGTTAAGTGGCCTCACGCGAGATGCTCTCCAATGTAATTGTTAGTATGTTTCCTGGACCACCGAATGAGTGCTGGGTGGCTAGAAAAGTGTTCCGATAGAAGTGTGCCTTCAGAATAAGTTCAATTATCGATCTGTTTTAGGTCTAGCTACATTGGCGTCTGGGTGGAGAACCGGATCCCGGTCCAGTCATAGGTATCCTGGGCCTATTAGGCCAAAAGATTCACTAACCAACCCGAGCGATTCCGGCTAACGGCTCTGCTACTTACCAGTGCAGACAAGATTCCGGCAGAGGCCGTTTCTGAAGTCGTGGAACACACGGTTGCGATGCTCCTGGAAAGCAAAAAATTTTTTGGGTGTTTTGATTGCTGTGGAAATAGGTTACAAGTCTATAAGCTCCATTATGTTTTATGAAACATTTGACTATAAAAAGTACAAGCTAAGCTGTACAACTGGGAAAAAATTTGAATATATTAACTTTAGTAATGGAAGACATCCGTTTCCCAGTCTTCGAACATGAACCAGTTACATTATATCCCTGTTTGAAAACTTCTTGTAGCTGGTAGAGCTGGCATTTCAGAGGCAGTACTTTGAGCTGACCTGTCTCATCTTGGCATGAATGTAGAAACATGAATAACCAAGTTGGGAGATCTTCTTTGCAAGGAGTTCCACTCTCTGAGAAGAGTTGCAGAAGATTATAGACTGGTTGATCTGGAGCTGTATTAAAAAAAGAAAACAAATACTTATTAAATTAATGTTGGAATTACAAGGATTCCATCTACATCTTAAATATCAAATAAATTTGCATTTCCAAAGTCCAAAAAAAACAGAACAGATTGACAGATAACTCCTATATGACAGCATCTGCATTCAAATAATCAGTCCAGTCGGCATTCTACAAAAGTTTTAATGACACATTGGAAAGGTTCTAACACAGGGTGACAAAGTGCAGACAGTCACTACTTACCCTGGAGAACAAGGTGTTGAGGCAATGGACTTTTTGCCTTTCAGTTACATAAGCGTAATACTGGGTCACACCCTTCAGTGTAAGCTCCTCCATCAGGTTTATCTCATAGGGCTTCTGCAAGTGAGCGTTCTACAAACCAAGGGAAGACCGCAGTGGTTCTATTTAGGTGGTCTGACATATTATGGTGACAGATATTAGCATGAACGAAATTATAAAACAAGCACACAAAAGTGTCAATGATAAGTGTGTACCATGAACTTCTGAACGCTGATTGGGAAGGTTGCAGAATAGAGCAGGATCTGCCTCTGTTTGGCCAGGAAGCCCAGCATTTCCTCCATCATAACCACAAAGTCCTGAGACAGGAGTTTGTCAGCCTATTGAGCAAAGAAACACAAGGGAAGAGCACAGCCATTGAAAGAACGCTTCAATTGTAGTAAGGCCACACTTGTGGCCTTACCCTGGCTTACTACTCACAATTACTTGAATCATTTCTGTCATAGGAATTGCATGATTATACATTGTTCATTCTGTACACATGGCATCCATTGTAGTCTGTCCATCCCGGGAGTGGGATCCCTCCTCTGACGTTCTCCCTAAGGTTTCTTCCCTTTTTTTTTTTCATTTTTTGGGGAGTTTTTCCTGTGCCGATGGTGGGTTTCGGGGCAGAGGATGTTGTATGTGTACAGACTGTAAAGCCCTCTGAGGCAAATTTGTAATTTGCGATTGTGGGCTATACAAAATAAAATTACTTGACTTGTTCATTGACATTGGTCAAACAGAATGAACATAAACTTACTTCATCAAGAACAACCATCTGCACTTGATTGACTTTGGCCACTCCTTTCTTGATGAGGTCTAGAATTCTCCCAGGAGTGGCAATGACCACATGTACTGTAAAAAATGTATATAAAGCGTTGGCAAAAAATATATAAGATACAGCAGATTCTACAAAAGAATGGCAGTGTTAGGTAGGGCTGCAACAAATTGATTAAATCAATGAAAATTGATTATCAAAAGTGTTCATCAATTCATTGAGGAACGCAATCACTACACCACCCAATGAGTCAGATACAGAGCTAACAAGCCCTCGTTTTCAGACTAGACTGAATTGTTTAAATTGAGTATTTAAATGTATTTCTTTGAGTAGCATTAGGAATGTAAAGAAATCTTACTCACACACACATCACAAAAGTTTCAGAACAACCGCCTTACATTGTGGTTTTGTGATGTAGCTGGTGAGTTATAAAAAATCTTTTTGAAGGATTCCGTGCCAATTTCCAAGTGGACAGTCCCTACACTTCAAACCAAAGTGGATGTCATTCCAACAAGAGAATCTTATGAGAGGCTGTTTAGGACTCAATGTTGAGACGCTCTCACTGAGACACTCCAACACGTACCAATAAAACTCTTCCATTCACTACTGAAATGCGCGCGCGCACACACACACACACCCACACCCACACAGTAAAACTATGCACACGCATATATAAAACATACATTTATGTAATGCAATGTATATATATTATTTATTATGATGATTTCGATTTGTATTAACTTGTTACTACTGAAGTTCAAAATCCAACATGTTGAGTCAGCATTTTAATTTCTAGCTATTGTAGGGGACTAAAGACCAAATCCACGGGACCCTTTAAGTGGAAGGGGCATAGCTCTGGTGACACGGGGGGTCAAAAGGGAGCAGGAAGTGAATGTGAGATGCCTTTTTGTTTCCATGCTCCTTCACTATGGTAATAATCGTTGAAAAATCATGAAAAATAGTCGTTACATTAGTAGATTACAAAAATAATCATTCGTTGCAGCCCTAATGCGCGTGCCTAGGTTTACAGAGTATGTATGCATGCGTGAGTGAGTGAGTGAGTCAGCAGTGTGTGAAAGCATTTCAATAGTGAACGTAAGTATTTCATTAGTACGTGTAAGTGTGTCAGTAGTGAGTGTGTCAATAGTCCTAAACGGCTCCTCAGAATCTCATTTGCTTGTATTAAAACTAACCAATAAGCTGTACACTTACGGCCTTTGCTGAACAGGCAGTTAAGAATGTGAAGTAGCATTTAAGATGATGAACACAGCATTTGGTAGGAAAGCAAGGTTTCAAAACATCAGGGGCACAACGTGTAGATTGTGAAGTTTACCAGTTTCATCAAGTCTCATGATGTCATCACGTAGGTTGGTTCCACCTGTAGTCGCCATTACCTTTACTCCACCCATGTGTTTGCTGACCTGGATACTTATTTGGCTTACTTGCAGAGCCAGTTCTCGGGTCGGCACTATGACCATAGCTTGAAACAGACACACACACACTTGTGATGAGTCACACGCATTTACCCTGGGCAGGCCGTCTTAATTTGGCAACTTTGACAATCAAGCCACGCATGCACACGTTGTTTGAACATAAGTGATTTAGTAGAATTTTGACGCATTAAGAAATGTTTTTGTTTTGTATTTTTAAAGAGTCCTGTACATTTATTCTGCCATGTTTTAACTAGTGATGGTATAGTTACATAATTTATTGCCTTGCTGACAAAAATCGGTTTCATTAAATTTTTTATCCTCATTTCAGTGATACATCCCTTTAGGTGTCCCCTTAGGTGACACAGCATTGGGCACCAGGTATTAGTTTCTATTAATTCCAAAATGACTATGTTGAAGTATAGATTTCTTTGATTTCCAAAAGCAGGGACTAGTCTAACTAGAGACAAAGGGCGGAAAGTTTAGATAAGTATACAAATATGTTCATGCATGAGACCCATTGTTAGACACCTAGACTAGTGCTTTTAGACAATGTATACAGTGCAAACAAAGCCATTCTACAGTCACTGATCAATTAATTATTGTTATGCAGTCATTTCAATTAAAGATTCATCCAATTTTATTCACCATCAGAAAAATGAGCGCCTGACTAAGATGAGGAAAGAGTCAAGTGTCCTCCGCTGCAGCAGAAAATGCGCTTCCTCACCTTGTATGCAGTCCCTCTTGAGGTCAATACGTTCAAGTAAGGGAATGAGGTAGGCTCCACTCTTCCCCGTGCCGTTTTTGGCTCTGGCCAAGATATCTCTTCCTGACAGTGCAATGGGAATGCTTTCCTCCTGTACAAAAATCACCAATGACCGTCAAACACTAGACTACTTTTTACAGATGGATAAATACATACCTTATTGTGTTACAATTAGTGGTTGACCAACCACTATTGCCACGTCACTAGTATAATAGATTTTAGTAGAACTAGAGGGATGGAGCATTGATTTTCTCCTGCACAAGACGACATAACTCACTAATTGCTTCTGTCCCTTTCTGTTACTGTGCTCCATCAGCAATAGAAAAGAGTACTTGCCAGATGGAAGACATTGAAACTAGAGGTGCTGTGCAGCATCATCTTTCACATAAGATACGTTAATACAAATAAAGCAGATTAAAAAATAACTACAGTAAAATACAAATTGCTAGGACATTTTAGATTGCATAAGTTAGTCATCAACTTAAATTAGTTACTATTGAAGTTAGTTATAAAACTAAACTCCAAACTAACCAGATAGAAACTGATCCCCGTCGTTGGGTTTTATTTTGAACTAGACGCAAGAGATATTTAAAATCAGTTCTGGTAACTCAGTCATAGTATGGGAATGACAGCCAGTTATTTTCCAATGCACCTATCTCTAAAATGATGAAATTAGGCACCGTAAGCACTAAAATGTTGAATGTCAAATCTGAGTAATATCTGAATGTACCTGGATTGGAGATGGCTTTTCCCAGCCCATCTCAAAGATTCCCATGAGAAGCTCCCTCTTTAGGCAATAATCTTCAAACTCGTTGCCTTTAGTTGCAGTCACATCCTGTAATCATGACGTCGATTAATTAGCATTTGATTAACAAGATCCGATAACAGGCTTAGAAACTAATGGATTATGCTCTGACAATTAAAGGGAAGGCAGGAAAATATTAAATTAAACTTTCTCTTACAGCTCAATAGCCGTGTTAACACAAAGCAAATTTAAATAATAATTTTCCCCGTGGTTTACAATTAAAGTATACATCATTAAAAGTAGCCAAGCTTAGTTGGACTTGCTAGCAGGTCCTGTAAGGCAATACTCATCAGAACTTTATGTACTTTTATGAACACTGAAAAATGCTTTCAAAGCAATAAAATAAAACAAGTTTGAGTAATCAAAATATTTATCCAGTTTCTATTTCCAAATTGAAAAATTTCCAGCATAACCAAAGAACCATCTTTTACAAACCGAAGTTTTCATCCTCATGTCTTTCGGGGGCAACTTCAAACTCTTCTTCCAGTCATCTCCAGGCCTGTGGATGGTGAGGTCTTTGTAAGCAAAAAGCATGGCACAGAACGGCTGCTATACTTTTGGCAACACGCATATCTTATAACTTACTTGACAGCATTAGTTGTGAGGGCCAGTTGGGAAGTGCCGTTGTTGATTGCGCCTTTCATCTGGTTGAGTGGCTGTGGTGGAGGGCCTGCTCCACCTCCACCGACTGCTACAACAGGCTTAACCGAGCCTCTGAGCTGGACGTTCTGGTTGGACAAGCCCAGAATCACCGGGTTCTCCGTCCGGGCGGTGCTCATATCTATGTCTTTTGTTTCAATAGCGATGGAATCTTTTACGGTGTTTAAATGAAGTCTGCTGCAACCACTTCAAAATAAAAGGCTGCCCTTCACTCTCGAGACTTTAAGGGTTATCCAAATATTAAATTGTTCAAATCGTATCACGGCAGGTTCAACAACGTTGCAGTTTTGCGGACATCAAACGTCAAAATAAACAAATACCCCATTTAATGATCAGATATCTTGTAAATGCGAATTTCTGAGGTTCAGTTCTTTACATTTCAATAATCTGCCATGGTCATATGGAATATCGTAGTCCAGAGGCCTTAGCTGGCTGTCACTATGGGCAGACTGTTTATCTAGCCATGTTATGTTCAGTCAATTAGCCTCTTCTTCCTCTCAGGTTCCTTCAACCCTGAAAAAAAAAAGACAAGTGTTAAAACGTCACGCACGTCAGTTGTGTGGTAAGACGCAAATTCCCGTATTCAGAAGGTATATACTTATAAAGTTCTAACTTCGCTGACAAATGACTGATAGAAGGGTTACATTGATGGCCTTATGTCCCATGTTAGCCGGCACATTAGTCTTAACCATTGCGAACAATATGAAGACGGGGATACGCGGAAAGTAACGTTAAATCATACACATACATTAACGTTATCTGTATGGTTACCACTATTATACGACATGTGAAGTTCAAGTGGAAATTATCTCAACTCATGGTTGACTAGGAACATGTAAGGTACGTTAAATCCTGTCTTAGTAGCCAACGATAGAGGGGAACCCGGCTAATGCTACGGCTAACCACCGATATCTGGCTAACTGACGTTAGCACCCAACGCGGTAGATTCGGGGTAATGTTACGCGGCACCGGTAAAAACGTTAAAATGACAGTTTCAGAATGTTTTAATACAGTGGGCCCGTCATAACGCTAGCGCAACTGCGAACTGACACATTTCCCAGTCTGAGATAACAAACAAAACTGAATATCCACCATCAACCAGCGCTAGTTAACGTTAGCTAACTCCGAATGGATTGACATGCTAGGACGGCTAGCAAGCTAACGAAATGGCTAAGGATGGCAAACGGTGAACGCATCTGGTAAACAACTAGCCACGGATACAACCTATTTAATGCGCATGCAATTACCTTGGATCACTTCAATAATTGGTTCTCTATGCGGTGTTTGTAAGGTGTACAATTTTTCTTTTAGCCGACTGCGAAGAAGTCTTGTCAACCAAACGTTCAAGATGGCTTCCACTCGTATTTAAACCCGCCCCCATCCAACCAAACAGCTGATTTCACTTCAAATCAGCGAATTATCCGCAGGGGACATTTGTTTTCTTCAAATGTAAGTGACTTGGACTGTTGTATTGTGCTTACCCTCTATTTATCTCTATAGATAGAACTACCTGGCAAGTGCAGATGAAACACAGCCAGCGTGTGTCTCTCCACAGGTACACGGACGGGTGAGGTAGCTGGATTACATTGCAAGATAGCTCTCCTGTCCCTGTCCCCCAGCATATATACTTCTGCCTTTTATTATTATGATTAATTAAACACAAAAAAACTTAACGATTATTTATATTATTTGAAATTATTTCATTTCATTAGAATGCATTGAACTGCACTCTATGCTCCATGTTATACTGTAACTAAGTGTATAAAGCCTACTTAATAATTACAACAGTCAGGCATTTAAATATATAACAGCTGAGAGCTGTTACATAGAAATAAACGGTGGAGGGTTAGTTCGGCATAGCTTTTCTAGTTTTATACTTTTTCTTTAATGACTTCCCATACCCGAATGTACCTGCAAACAGCTGCAGTAGCAAAATAGTCTGTAGGATCAAAGTTATAAAGTTATAAAGGGGTTTATCTTCTTTTTTCATTCATGATGAAATCAAGGAAAACAGAACTGAAACCAGTTACAAAATCTGCAGGGATATCAGTGAAACCATCACGTTCTGGTTGGTAGTCAGGATGCCTGGATGTGGTATTCATAAAATATTTGTGATTAGGGTCTTTTTTGCAAAAAAAAATACATATAAACCAGACCAGTTTAGTATGATTGCCTCTTGCTCATCCAAAGCCAATGTTTATGTTGTTTATTTTCACTCTGACTTGCATTGCTGCTCTGTCATGCTTACTATGGAAAGCCATATTTAAAGCTTTTGCCTGATTTGACTGGCTGTTTCTACCCAACCCACCTCAGAGGAGGAATTGGCAAAGCAATTATAAGCTGCAGCACTAACAGGAAGTCAACGCATATTTCAGCATAGTGTAAGATGTAAGTGTAAGCAGTGAGATTTACATTCAAGTGACCAAGATTTACCGACATGGCTGTTGCACACACCCTTGTCTTTGAGGTAAGACATAATTAAGAAATGAAGGGAATGGTAAAATGCTTTAGATGCTCTTAAACTCCTATTTCAAACTATGTATCGTTGATCATAGTCTAATTTAATTTTATACTTGGAAATTTGGCATTTGTGTGTTTTCAGTTTTTGGTTTGATAAACTTGAAATAGTAGTTTGTTTTTGTGAGCAAAACAGTAGGTCTTAGGTGGGATTGAGTGGTTAAAATGCTCTTTAGCGGTGGTGGACACCTTCAGCAGTACAGCGTAACTCATCTAAAAACTTCTAAAACTCTGCGTCTGACATTTGGAAGTTTAGTGAAGTTTCTTTCTATAATTAAGAACAATAATTGACAACAATATGTATTTACATGTCTTTAAGTTGAGATGCATAGGGAATACCCTACTGTAGCTTAAATTACTGAAGCATGAAAATGACCTTTAACAGACACAGGTTTGCTACATAGGGTGTGATTCTTTCCTGTTTACTCACCAGGGAAATAAACAACGAGGGGGCTCAATGTAATACATCCTATATGTTCATTAGAACAGAAGGATACTGCAGGGTGATATATTACATCTTTCTAATCCCAGGTGTCTATAACTAACACCAAAGGGATTTAAAAGGAAAAGGTTATATTATTTTACACTATTGCTGCTGTATGTAGGAGATATATGATCTTTTTGATGATCTATATATAAATCAAATGTAAAACCTTTATTTTCAAGAACAACAAGGAAAAAAGAGGAATTGGCAAAGCAATTATAAGATGCAGTACTAACAGGAAGTCAAATTTCAGCTTATCAGCAGTGTAAGATTTACATTCAAGTGAAGTGAATTTAGCGACATGGCTGTTGCACACACCGCTGTCTTTGAGGTAAGACATGATTAAGAAATTAAGCAAATGGTAAAATGCTTATGCTCAAAATCCTATTTCACACTATCAATCGATCATATTCTGATTTAATTTAATTTGATATGTGCAAATTTGTTCTTAGTACATCAATAATAGCATTGACAGTATTGGCAGCAATAGAAGATGACACTGTTTAAAGTTGAATAAAACAAATGTCTTGTTTATAAGAAGGGGAACTGTTATAGAAAAGTACAACAGGAATATCTAAATAGGATTAATGGATATTTAACAATTCTATATACACTTTCTTATAGAGAAGTTCCATGACAAGACTGGAGTAACTGGCACAAAGTACCTTCTACTAATATTAAATTGGAATACGATGACATTCAAAAGTGTGTATTCCATTTTTTACATAAACTAATGAATGTTTCTACGATGTTAAATTTAAATAACCCTTTCTTTTTATATATATAATGCCATTATTTAAGGGTAACTAAGATTTTAATAGCCTAATTTAATAAAATGATTTGCCTAAAACAGCACTATGTTACTTTTAAGGGGAAGTGAAACCAATCTGGCCTATTTCCTGCCTAATCATTTGACTGAAAAAAAACAGAACAATGAAAATCAAAGCAGTCCTTTTAAAGATAAGACAAGCTAAAGCAATGCTTCCTTTTTTTCATTATTGAAACATGGATATTAGAATTCAACCCAAACTCTTTGGAGGGGACAACGGGGCATCATTTCACACACACTTGACACCACATGATTCTCATGCTGTGATGTTATTAAAATGACCGACTTCCTCCTTTATATTTTACAGCTGTACACAGATGGGGAGAATTCGACATTTGAATACAATTATGGAAATGACATGGCCCCTTCGGTCTGTGATGACGAGGGGATTTCCCTGCGGACCTTCCAACCTGTGCTGTACAGCTTGATCTTCCTGCTGGGGGTGTCAGGCAATGGTCTGATGACAACAGTCCTCCTGAGACGACGGCACCACCTGCGCATAACAGAGATCTACCTGCTGCACCTTGCCTTGGCGGACCTCCTGCTCCTTTTCACGTTTCCTTTTGATGTAGTCAACGCCGCCGCCGGTTGGCTGTTTGGGGAATTTCTCTGCAAGCTGACGGGCCTGGTGCAAAATCTTAACCTCCACTGTGGGAGTTTCCTTTTGGCTTGCATTGGGTTTGATCGCTATTTGGCCGTCGTTCACGCCATTCCAAGGATGCAAAGTAGATGTCCGAAAACAGTGCACCGAACATGCATTGCACTGTGGCTGGTCTGTCTGGGGTTATCTGTACCGAATGCTGTGTTTCTTTCTGTGAAGGAGGTCGGAGGACAGGTCTCCTGTTTCTATCATGATTATGGTATCCATGCAAACAACTGGGTTTTGACCAATACAGTGTTAAATCACGTGTGCTTCTTCATTCCACTGGCCGTCATGAGCTATTGTTACGCAGCAGTGGTAGTTACATTGTGCCGCAGTCAGAAAAGCCAAGCAAAGCAAGGCGCAATTAGACTGTCTTTACTTGTCACGCTGGTCTTTTTCTTCTGTTGGCTGCCATACAATGTCACCATACTGATCAAAACAATGGTAGACCTGAGCGTTATCTCACAACAGGCCTGTGAACATTACATCCTACTGCTATCAGTCCTCGATGTGACAAAAAGCATCGGCCTCTCACACTGTTGCCTGAACCCTTTCTTGTATGCCTTTGTTGGGGTACGTTTTCGCCAGGAGCTGATACACTTGCTTTGTGAAGAGGGATGCAGCAACGTTTGCTCCCCTTTTCTCCGAGCCCAGGGTCATAGTCGACCATCCATTTCTGACAGAGCAACGACCACCAGCACCATGCGAATACAATGAGCTTTTGTAAAATGTCAGATGAAACTAAGATCCTTCCGTTCTACAGTGATGCATTTGTACAGTAATGATGGATTTTAAATTTGCATTTTAAAAGACGTTTTATTTAACCAGTCAAGAAAGTTTTGAATCTTTTTTTGCTTGTACTTCAGCTACTGCTTATTAAATTCAATAAAGAGTTCATAAAATATACAGTAACTGTGTCCCTTTGTCAGTGTTCGTGCACAACAGTAATTGACACAAGAACCGAAGCTAAAACCACAGTAGAGATCAGCATTGTTCTATTTTTAGACTTCTATTAAAAACAGTTATACAGAACAACTGCAAACAATCACAAATTGCATCTTATATACAGCAAGTATATATTATATATATATATGTACACACACACACACACACACGTCAATATATATATATATAATATACATATATATAATATACATATATAAATATACATATATATACATATATATATACATATATATATAATATACATATATATATAATATACATATATATACATATATATACATATATATATACATATATATATAATATACATATATATAATATACATATATATATATATAATATATATATATAATATATATATATATATATATATATATATATATATATATATATATATATATAATATATATATATATATATATATATATATATATAGAATTCCTTTGAACAACAGTTTGGTAGTTGAAGAAAAAAAAAAATCAATGATATTAAAACAAAATAGAAATTGGAGGCACTCCTCTGCTGACTGCCACTCTGTTCCAACAACAACAACTAGACACATCTTTGTAATTTACATATTTTACAGTATTTTAGAACATGGCTTCAAATGAACTGTATTACAGTGCTTTTCATTATTCCATTTCTAATCAGTTGTACTCCATAAATTGATGGTCTTTTCAAATAACTGCGATAATAACAATGAAAAAAACTGGACACAATGGTAAGGTCGAAGCGGACACTTTTTTTCTTTTTTTCCAAGGTTTGTATCAACTGGATCAGAATGGCATATGGGCCATACCACCGGGCCCATAACCAATGGGACTGTCCAGAGACATTCCCCGTTGTCTGAGCGATTGGGGGCCCATCATACCAGTTTGTGGGTGGGACGGGGCCATCATCGGACCCTGGGGGGACATGAGAGCGCCCTGGGAGACAAAGGGATCCCCTGGAATTGACATGCTTCGCTGCTTAGCCTGCATCATCATAATGTTTTGCTGTGCCATCAGATTGTGTGAGTGCTGCTGGGAGGACATCATGCCAGGGTACGGATTGGAAGGATGGTGGAGAAGGCTGCTCGTCATCATGGCTTGCTGTTGCTGTAGCTGCTGCTGCTGCTGCTGCTGGGGCGCCATTCCTGTCCTTCCCATCATATGTCCAGGGTGGCACATGGGACCCATGCCTGATCCGGGACCCATGCCCCTGGAGCCCCCCTGAGGAATGCCCATGTTTTGGCGTATTCCAACGTGTGAGGGGTGAGGCGCCAGCTGCTGTTCAGCCATCATATTCTGTAGATTTGCCAAGTGGGGGTTGGATGAGGGGCCGCTGGTGTGTGGAGGGACAGAAGAAGACAGCTGTTTGAGGAGCTGCTGCGGAGTGGGTTGCTGGGTTAGGGGCCCCTGATGGGGATTCTGATGTGGCTCACTCTTGGGGAAATACTGGAGAGTGCTACTGGGCTTATCAGAAGGAATGATACGGGAGAGGTCAAACTCGGGGATCCCCGAGTGACTGGGTCGTATAACTTCACTTAGATCCGGGCCGTCCCCCATGGGCAAAGAGGAAAATGAGTCAGAGGGATGAGAGTGGCGCTGGTGAGAATGACCTTTTCTAAGCAGGCTAAGGTGTAACTGCTGTGGTGGTAGAATATCCTCATTAGACTGGGAGAAATGATTTGACATTCCTCCCATAGGTGAGTGCATTGGCCCGAGAGGTGGGTGCTGGATGCGAGGAAAGCCCGGCATCTGGTTCTGGGATATAGGCGAAACGTTGCAGCGCCCCATTCCGTCAGGTGGACCTCCTCCTATCATGGCCGAATTCATGGCGGGCATGCCTATTTGGTTCGGCGAAGAAAGCACACGTCCTGATGAGTCATGTGGCAGGTGTTGCGGAACTTGGCTTACAATGCCCATGGGGCTTTGCGGATCACTGTGGGGACCAATGGAGCCCTGGGAGACGAGTATCTGGGAGGTCTGAGGGTTCCCCATGTTTCCTGGTGATAAAGAAAGGCAAGCACGTGAAACGTCACACCACTGATTGTCTTTTGTCAATCAATCATACAGGATGTACTGATTTGAGGCCTATTCACCTTCTCAAGCAGCTGTACTACATTACAAGGGTTTAAGCAGAGCAAAGGTTTGCATAGAAAGAAAATAAATAAATCATAGAACTAAGATAGAACACTATTATTCTACCGTTTCCTTCCACACTGCCAATGTGTATAAATTGTCCTCTGTCTATGACAATGTGTCGTTGTTTCATACCTCCAATGCTGACACCAGAAAGAAGAGGTCGATCCGGCAGCATCTCATCATCGGAAGTAGCAATTGTTTTGATTGCATCGTGGTAGAGGGGAGTAGAACTGGGCATGGCATACTTGGACATCTGGGACATGATGAGAGATAAAGGATTCGGAGCTGGATGGTTCTCGGGAGAGGAAGTGAACGTCATACCAGGATTCATAGAGCCTGGCTGGCTAATCGGTGTTGAGTTGGAACTCCTTGGGGGAAGTGATTGGCCTGCAAAGAACATTAAAAATAATTGATTATTATCAGCAATACATGGACAGCATTAATGTTCATCCACTGTCAACTTGACTTTATTTATACCTGTCTCAGTGGAACTACTTCCTCCATTGCCCACTACCTTCCCACTGGTAGGACCACCTGGACTTGGAAGAGCTGCTTTTGGAGACGCCCAACCTGGAGAACCCACAGCCAAGGCAGGGGACTTGAGTTGTCCAGGTGAGGCAGACGGGGAGTGCAACCCTAGGTTGGAAGACCCCATTATCTGAGGAGACTTCATGGAAGAAGAGGAAGCAGTCCCAGCACCAGATGCAGCGGGAAGAGTGGTGTGATGCCCTGCAGAGGCTATCTGTGAGGGGGACTTCAGGCCTGGAGCAGAGGGAGAAGGCAGAAGTGGAGATGGCTCTCGGTTGAGTGATGGAGATTTGAGCTGATGAGGACGAGGCACTAAAGGAGAACTCCTGGGGTTAACATTGATTGAAAGGTCAGAGGGGTGCCTGGGCCCGAGGTCTACTCCCCTGAGGACTCCAGTCATCGGCATATGACTAAGCCGGGACGTACCTCCCATTTGATTATGACCTTGCTGATCAGGCCCAAACATCTCATGGCCATGCTGCTGAAGGAAGGGCCCATCCCCCTGTCCTCCAGAGAAGGGACCATGATTGGGAAACTGGAAGGGGCCATCAGGTCCTGGAATCATTCCCTTATTTACTCCTCCTCCACTGTGCGAAACTCTGATTCTTGAAATCTCTCCCGGGCCAAACATCTCACCTAAAGTTCCCCCTCCAGCAGGACCTCCTCTGAGCTTCTGAGTTAGCATCATCTGCTGTTGTTGTTGCTGCTGCTGCTGCTGCTGCTGCTGTTGCTGCTGCTGAATATTCATTTGTGGGTTCATGTTCATTGCGAGGCTGCTCCCTAAAGGAGAATCCACAAGGTCTCTCATCTGAGGACCCCCTCCAGGAGAGCCTATAATCTCCCGTGAACCGGGAAAGTCCATGGGATCACCTCGAGCGGAGGGAGGACCCCGGACCATTCCCAAATTGTGAAATTCGGAGCCCCCGGAATTATCCATTATTCTCGAGCCCAGGTTGCCCTGTTGCTGCTGTTTAGCTAATCTGTCAAGTTCATACCTGGTGAGCCCCTGCATCTGCCGTTTCTCCATGAGGAACATTTCCTCATGCGTTAGCAGATGTTCTGGGTCACCTTGCAAATGCTGAGGAGGTCTACCAGGGTAACAGCCATGAAATGGAACTCCACTACCTATGTTGTTTGGCATATCATCAAGCCAAATCATCCCTGGCCTGGTGGGCCTTTGGGGTCCTAGACCCTCCACTGATAAAACACCCCCTTTACCACCAGGAAAACCACCTCCCCCAGGTGGCCCTCTCTGCATCTGCCCTAGGAACCTTGGGCCACGGGGTCCCTCTTGGTGCATTTCTATCATTCGTGTATTTCCACCCATTCCTCCTCCCAACATATTGCCAGGACCCCACTGCTGGTCTCCAGGCTTGCTGTGGTAGGGAGGAGGGGGTCCTCTCATCATCATCGGACCTCCTTGCATGCCGATCTCCGTCATCATTCTTAAGTGCTGCTGATGTGAAGGGGGTTGTATTTCCTGTTGTCGTCTCTTCTCTTGGTAGTATTCGTCTTGAAGCTTCCTCCACGCCACTTGCTCTGGGGTCAGCCCCTCTGGTCCAAGCATGTGACCCATGTCGAGCCCAGGTGACGACAGCTGCTGATGTGGATGTTGTGGTAGGTTATGGTGAGAGTCCATGTGGGGTCCATCGTGAGCAGGTCTAGCAAGGGACTGTGTTTGTGCAATGATGGACTGCAGCGGTTCTTCATATTTCTTCATCCCTCCCATAGAAGCCAGGGCTGTCGACAGCATACTACCACCACTGCAATTTCCAGAACCATTGTCATGGTCCTCCTGAATAGCACTCCTATCAGTGTTGTTGTTATTATTAAGGTTGGACGAGTTATTACTAGCATTGTTGGTGGAGGGTCCTGTGTCTACAGGGCCTCCACCTGCCCCACTGCGCAGGAGCAGCCTCTCTATGTCTCTCAGCGTCTGCAAAGAGCGCTCCCGATGTTCCAACTGCTCTTTGGAAAGACCGTCCATGTTCCCGGGGCCACTCCTCTGGCCTGGATCCGCTTGTAGGTGTGCAGAAAGGATGGAAGGACTCCCCGAGGGAGAAACCGTAGCAACTGGAAGAGACATACCGCCTGCACCTTCCCCATCTCCAGCTCCTGGGCCTGCAGGATTGGCCATGTTGCCTCCCTCGGACCTATGGCCAGGTCTGTTCTGAGAGGATTCATTATCGGAGTGTCCTGCTGATGACGGGGTGCCTGCAGGTTGCAATGGGCACCCAACACCTGCAGAGGCCGGCCGGGGAGTTCCACATTGCGATTTAGGGGTGCCTGTGGGTGGAGAGCTGCTGGAGTTTATCTTTTCAGATGGGTTAGCAGGCTTCCCTGATGAGTGGCCCTGCAGTAGACAAAATAAAAACCATTACATCCTGTAAATGGTTAGCATTTCAAATGGTAATAATTGCAGTTATTTTATCTTACAAGCATTTAAACTCGTAACGGAAACGGGGTACAGAGAAGTATCTGTGACCAAAATAGTTAAACAAATTAACTCCCATGTATACTTTACATCCATGGTCTTAACTGTGAAAGGAACACTTGTAGTCCTTTATGGACTAAACACAAACTTGACATCGGTTTAATGTGACGCTGAGCTGCGGATGTCTGACCTGCTCCAACTTGGGGCGTGAAACATTTTGCTGGTGAAACAGAAGAATGGAATCAGTCTGTCCTTTCATTACCGCCTCTGCAGCACTGTTAAACAAATAGGGCAATCATATCATTTCAAATATCCACAGCTGTATACAGTGTTATACTGTGGATTGAATCATAATGCAAAAAAACAAAAACAAATAAATGGTAAACAAGGTAAGTTGATGCGATAAAGACAATTCAAACATCTCCAATTCTGGCCTACAAAACACGTCTCACCTGTTAGCGAGGCTGGTGGTGAAAACGTACACCACTTGCTGTGAAGGTTGAGGCGGCTGCTCTGTTTTTAGCCCCGGTCCAGCTACGCATCCCATGACTGGTCCCGCAGGTTCACAAGACAAGGGCCCTGCAGACAGGCGATCAGAGAGCCCTTGAACAGGAGCGGCCAGCACACGTTCTCCTGTGAAAGAGCAGCAGCACTCAGGTTTAATTTGGCTGCATTTGTGTGCTGGCTTAAAATTGCAATACTGGCACAAATCTTTTTGGCTAAAACATCCAAACACTAGATGGAGCTAAAATACACGTCAAGTCATATCAGTGGCCAGGAGCAGCACTGCGATCCAAGCTCCAATCCTCTTTTAGTGTGTGTGGATGTAGATCTGAAAACAGCTACGGATAATTAACGGCTTTAGCCGGTTGTTTTTTCGGAAAATGAAATTGAGTGGGGGGAGGGGATTTCTACGTGTAATCAATACAGCCGTCAAAGTCACAATGGCGCTATTGTTAGCGGGGAGTGGAACTGGCTACAGGTTTCCCCCTCTGTGGGGATAGACCGACTCACGGTGGTTCGCAGTGTGTGGTTTGTCTTCATCCTCCTCCGTGTCAGGTCCAGAGCACCATTCATCGCCACTGTAAGGTTGTTTCTTTTCCAGAACGCAGCGCCGCTTACTGCGCATAACACCCTCTGGAGGATAATACACACAGACATATCAACTGTTGGGCAAAAACTGGTGTGTTCTATCATTTTAAAAAAGGGGGAAATCCATCGTCCACATTTAGTCAAAAACATTCGCTTGAAGCTTTTATATACCAAAGTAGCCCAAATTGCCTGATAAATATATATATTTTGTAAATAAATCAAAATGAAATATTTATTGGGAAAAAATAAACACTACACTTTTTTGCAGCTCTACTCATCTCTGTATTGCTTTTATTTTCTTTATATATGCAGCACGCTAATTACACCTTTTTGAGAAGCGCGAGCTGAAGCTCCTCACATGGTGGAATTATGATCTGCTGCAGAAGTATGCATGTAGCAGCTTTCAGAAATACTTCAGCAATAGAAGAGTAGAACAATTTCTGACAGCACACACAAGGCCGGGTTTTAACTCTAAACGGTGAAACAGGAAAGAAGTGGCAATATCCTTGATTACGGTGACACATTTAGATAACCTTTCTAAACAAATCAGTAAAGATTTTCAAGGTCCATTGCTCAATGTCAAACTGACTTTGTGGCGGACAACTATTTTCCAGCAAACACATGAGCTTGGGAAAGAACACAATTTAAATGTACAGTCGGAAGGAAGGACTGTGACGCAGAGATGTCGGCCTTTATTGCCAACACTTTGTGGTACAGCACAAACAACAACATAAGAAGAAAACGCAAACGTGTTCACTTTGTCACGACTGACGTGATTTCAGGTTTGACGGTGGAATGACTTGAAAGTAATAAGGAGGAAGGCTTCGGTTTGAATGAAATGCACTTCTACAAGCATAAATTAGAGAAAGACGCAGAAAGAGAGGGTGAAAACGTGTGTGTGTGTCGAGGCCAAACAGACCCAGAAGAGATTTCCAGAGCTTTCACTCTCAATAAGCCTCCGACTGTCTATATATTAGAACCACGCCTCTTCTTCTGCGTGTGCATTTAAAGGTTTAAGTCATGACAGGAAGCCCAGACGAGTTTCACAAAAACACACCGTCATCCACAGTCACGTGAACACACCAGCAACAAATGCAAATCAAACACTTCGTTTGGCACAAACATATACAGAGACAACCAAAACTACTTTAACTCTTTCCACCCACCCGCTGCCTCTGCTCCAATAACGACCTCTTTGTGCTTACTAAGTTTTAGCCACCTCAAAAGCCGCCTCTACCTCCGAGCACATCAGAATGCCAGATGCCGTTTCCTGAGAGACGCGTCACGGCAGCATGCTATCAAAAGCCAGGGGGAAATTCTGATGCTTTACTTTAAAGGTCAGGACATTTCAGCGACACAGAAAACAAGTTATTCTGTCCTCTCAGTCCGAACGTTCACTTCCTGCTGTGGAGGAGTTGAACGCATTCAATCTGGTATTTCGGGTAGAGATTTGCCTGATAGGAAGATGAACTTCAGCACACCTTGAACAGAGACACGCAATCTGTACGTCCCAGATTCTGTCTCCGTTTTGTCTGCGTGTGAATGCTCACCTCCTTTAGCGTCCGTCTCGAGGGCTTGAGGAACAGCACTTCTCGACTCGCTGGAGTCGATGGAGACGCTCCGCTCCCGCTTGGATTTGGTTTTCTGCATGCCTCCGACGCTGCTCACCGATTGGCTGACAGCCTTAAGTCCAGGGTTGCCGGGGGAAATCTGGTTGGTTTTGACTCCATGGTTTCCGGCAGCGGCGCCCTTAGCACCCAGGTGCCCAGCAGCTCCTTGCAGCTGCTGGGCCTGTTGGTTTACACCGGGTAATTGGGAACGGCCATCACTGGTGACCGGCTTGCCATGATTGGCCAGTTTATTGTCCGGGTGCATTTGATTGGCTGGTGATTGAGGTGGAGGTCGGGTGTGAAGAAAAGTTGTTGGTCGGTGGAGCTCACACTGATGAAAAAAGAAAAATCAAGAGCATTAGTCTTTCAGAATAGAATTCTGTACCGGGCCCCACAGTTTAAAGACAAATTCAGATCATTTCTCTACTCGGCCTAATAAAGTGCTGCAGGAAGCATGAGTCTGCATTTTGGAGATTCCAGACCCCCCCATCAGAAAGGCAGAGATTCTGTTTAGAATAAGGTCTGTGGTTATCACAAGATCATTATCACAAGGGGCTAAATCAGACACCTTGTGAGCCTTGTTGTGTATACTTGCACTTACACGACCGTGGTGCAGTTTTTTTGTACCCATTAAACATGCAGATTGCGCCAACACAACAAAAATCATAAAAGCCTTATTTGTGAAAGTTAGCTGTAGGTGTTTATTTTCTGAAATAATTCAGAAGCCTATAGAAAAATCCCACTGGCTTTCAGGTGAGGGAAACAAAGCGCTAATAATTTCTGGGTTTGGCCTTACAAAGAAAAGAAAAAGACATCCATGCAGCTCCTCTACACAAACCTCAAATTGTGCATTGGCTAACAACACACTCTGGTTTCAGTTTGTGTCTTTCGCGCAAACTCTTCAGCCTGTTCACTCACCTCATCTCAACCCGACGCTCAGCTGATACATTGCCATGCTGCTCTCCGGGACACTTCACTGACCACACATGTACCTGGGGGGACGACAACAACAGGGTATCATCAGCCGTGGAGCCAGATAACAACCTTTACAGTTGGCGCTATCTCTTCAGTAAGTGCCCTCAGCTCAACATCAGCTTCATGAGCGCAGGCGGAAAAGATTGCAAGAGAGCAAAGGCCAAAGAGACAGAGAGGTGACTGTTCCTTTAAGGGAAAGTGAGCTGGGGGAGGAACCTGCAGCCAAGAAGCAGCTCAGCAGTGTTTTAGGTTACTCCCCCGACCAAACACTTTGCAAAGCACAAAAACCCCACCACACATTCCACAACACTGTCTGCAGCAATGCCCGTCTCTCCCTGCCTCTATCAGAGACTCGATCGTTCACACTTGGAAGCACAGGGAGGCAAAAAAAAGCATCACCTGCTAATTAAAGATTTGAGTTTCGGGCCTTCTCGGACACACCAAACCTTGGGGGTTTATCCGCGTTTATTTTTAATCTATTTCAGTGTGACCTGAGAGCCCAGATAACGACACCTCAGCTCTACAATATCCAATTGTAGCTTTCGTGGTAATGTCAGGGAATAAAAACATCAAACGAAGTAAGATTCAAGCACAACATCAAGAATGGAGGAGCCTTCCCGAGCAAATGACGCTTCTCTCTGGGATCAAGTCCATCGCCGCAAGCCGCCGCCCTCTCGACATCACCACCTGCCTGCGTCTGTGACCCCGGCCTTCTGATTTTAACCTTTCACCCTGGGCTGTGCTTTTCAGAGAGTCCAGTCTACCAACTCGTACACCATTTTATACAACAAAAGGTGCTTCGCACTAAGCATTAAGGCAGTTCTTCAGTATCTGCAGGTCTCAACAAGAACCTGCCACACCTGCTGGTGGTGAACAATAGTTGGTAAAAACAGTCATCACGGTTTGTTCAAAACCATCTGGCCGAGATACTTGTCTGACATGAAGCAATCCTGAGTAAACATTTCCACTGGTTCCATTTTTGGCAGATGACACAATCCCACCACTGAAGACCACGCGGTTTGGTCGCTCAGCTCAGCTGTCCTGCTCTTACAGAACCATGTGTGCCACTCACTCAGCTTGACAGGTAACGGTAAACACAGCGCTGCCATTAGTCATTAACCGACGCCGGCTCATGTCAGCACGGGGAAAAAAGGGGTCTTGTTCGTCGGGCTGAGGAGTTCATCACTCATTAACTCAAATGGGGACAGTCAGACGTCGCTCCTGTTGACAAAGTGTGACTCACTCGCTCACTGGGTGACGCAGAGTGGAGGCAGAATAATCACGGGGCGAGTCGACCGACCTTCGAGTGGACGGTAGAGAAAGGCTGGGCCTATCTGAAGACCAGTCTTGGTAGAAATCAAGGAGAGTCACCCAGTCATTTCGGCTGCAGCTGACACGATCCACAGGGGAAACCCCAGATGATAACTTTGAAGCCAATATCCTCTCATCCAACGCTTTGCAAACCCGGAGTGAGGCCTGGCTAGCACATTGTCCCCAAGCCTCGTCCCGGGAATGGAGCCTGTATTTAAGTAAGCGGCCAGGAACAGTACAGTGACTTTAGAGCAGCAAAAGCCTCAGCTTGGATGGGTTTTACGCACGGGTTAGAATCTTTTTTTAAGGTTCTGTGAAGTGAATGAAGTTGATTGATTTAAATCACACTGACTTTAATGAATTATATAAAGTGTAATCTGTTGGGGGAGAATTGATCTAATTTCCACCACATAATCAATGTTGTTCCTTGACCTACTGGAGGAGCAGACAAAGCGCTGGCATGACTAGCAACTGCTGGTGAGCACATTAATATTTAACTCAATTATTGTCACAGGTCTCAAACAAAGCAGGTTTCCCTGTTCAAGCAAAGAAATGCTATGGACCCATTGGTGTTTCAACATCTGGAGAAGATTGCTTCAGAGCACTGCCGACAAGAGAATACGATCCAACCACCATGTCTTGTGTGAGTTTATTTAAGATTAGACCTGTTGACGCGAGGACTGATTAATAACAAATCCAGTACTCTGGGAGTAAATGTCATCAATTTGAGTCAGACCTTGATTACAAATGCAGGTCATCTCTGTTCAAGTGGTTGGGCAACTTCTCAAAACAACTGGTTCCACCAGTGACAACATGGGTGCGTCGGGTGCGGCAGGCTTTGAATTGCTTGTAACGTCAATGCGTTTTTCACCTTGTGAGTGCGTATCTTCATATTTCTATGCGTCTGATCATTTGCCACCTTGAGAGCATCACGACTACGCAGTCGGGACACTTGAGTAGATTCATTGTGACAAAAAGAAAAACACTTGCTCGGGTCAGGGCCGCGACGTGGTCCTGACCCGAGCAAGTGTTTTTCTTTTTGTTTTGATCATCAAAAGCCAAACGGTTTGTCTGGGTTGTGTAGTGTTATTGAACAGCAGTACAGATACAAGCATCATCTCACTGGCGTGTGGAGTGCTTACTTTTTAAGAGAAAAAAAAAAAAAGCTTCAGACACACCTGAAGAACCACCACCACACCTAATGGTGCAATCTGCAATCATCGCAACTGACCTCAAAGCACGAACTGACCGAGACACCACATTATGGTGACATATGAAATCAACACGGCTGCTCTGTAATTCATCTGCAATAAGGTCATAAAATTAATATTAAAGTCCTTGAAAGGAGGTCCCCCCCCCCCCCCCCCCCTCGAGCAGTCGCGGCTTCCACTGAAACAAGGTTTCATTCTCAGTCTAACTTCTGTATTCTTACGGTTGCAGAACTTATCTGGACTCAGACGCCAACAGCAGGTATTTTTACAAGCTGCCAGAAAAAAGCTTAAACTGGATGTGGAATCACCATTTCATGATGAAGTTCATAGATGGATGATGGATAGATGGATCATGGATTGACGTTACAACTCCCATCAATAGCAAAGCGGTACCTGACCACACGCGCCCCGAGGCTCCTTTTACTGGTGGTCAAGCTGAGCAGAGGCCGCTCACAAAGAAGATATTTCCAAACGGCATTCGTCTTCCTCCCAAAAGCCTCCAGATCTTAAAACTCTGCTTAGTTTTGTGCATAAGATACACAGTGCTCTTACCCAATGATGAACGAAGCCAGCCCAGCGAGGGTCGGGGGCTGTGTGCTGGCAAAGTCAGAGTCACAGGGCAACATTTAATTGCCCTCAACTTGTTTGGATGCATTGTTTCGGTAATGTGCCAAATGCCATGCAACATCTTGCACATGAACTAACTAAAAAGGCTCCACTAGCGTTCCTTTTTGGAAGGTAGCAAATGGTTTTTAAAATCCTGAGAGGAAATTTGCATTAAAGCCACGATAAAGACTAGACATCCCTTGTGTTCAGACGGATGCTGGTGGGAGGTTGCTCACCTGTTTGGACGCGACCATCTAGAGACAGAAGGGACATGCCGTGGTGTAAATGAGATAAATAATATAATGCTAGGTTCTTTAGGAAAGGTAACCTTAAGACATGTTGTGATCTGACGGTGGAAAAAAATAATTGTTTAATATAAATAATACTGTTGGATTTTCACATTGCCCATCGTTGGGTCAGATTCCCTGTGAAGCTATTGAAGGTAAGCAGGTCGATCACAAACTCCTCCTCATCTCCTCCGGCGGGGCCTCAAAAGCTTTGGCTTTGTTGCCGCCTCGACCTGCAGACGGAGCGCCGGAGGGAGGCGGAGAGCTCCCAGCCATCTTGCTGCGTATCGTCTTACACAAAGAAAAGCAAGGTGTGTGACGTTAAAAGCAATGCGTTTATGACACGCAAAATGTCATGCCGTGCACACTCTTGCCAAAAAGTATTCAGTTAAGAGAATCCAGTCAGGCTGACACCTGTTGATCGTGTATGGAGAAGGAGCCAGCAGGGAAAAACGAGGGCTGATGACGTTCCCTGATGTGCACGGTTCTTTATAGCCTGTGAGATTAAGCCTTGTTAAGCAGTCAACAAAACATGCTGCTCCCGTTAAAAGCAGAGTTAAGTCTGGGAATAGGCTGTTGCAAAAGGTGAAATAAACACATTTTTATTGGCACAAAATGTCTAAATTTCGCTTTCGACATTTTCGCAATTTGGTTTGGGAAAGAAATTCAATTTAAAACGGGCGACCTTGTCCAGATGCGTCCGACCACTGCTCCAAACAAATATTTCAATGATTTAAAATCCTCTGCACATGGTCCATGATTGATAGCACATAAACACAAAGCCCTGCTTGAACATCAACGGAACAAACAATACTGTTCTCAGGGAGCGCATTGGCTTTAATTAAAGTCTAATTTAAAGTAATTTTGGAAAAAGTAAGGAATGTGTTTTCTTAAATGTTTCTTCAGTTGACCATCCAGGAATGGTGCATTTTAACACAATTCATTCATGATTTGATTTCTAGATTTCATTGTGAATGCCAGGAAAATGACGTAGCATCCGTAATGCAGGTCAGAATTTATGACTACTGCGAATGTGTGTGTGTGTGTATATTCGACTGCCTACGGTAAGCGGCTGAGCTATATAGTCCCACTGGGTCACAAAGTGCCCTGTATTTTTAGAGCGAGCATGTATTAATAGACCCAGAGAGCCCCGAGAAGTTGGGGCCACGGGTGAGAAAAAGAAATACCAAGCCAAGTCCAAAACACAGATGCCACAGGGCTGCTCTGTAGATTGACACCAGTAAACACTGCGGCCAAAGTGTTTAACAGAACTGATGAATGAATAATGTGTATTGCAGCTGCACAGAGATGCACAGTCGAGACCTTTTTGACAGCAGCCAGTTAACATGGAGTCAGTCAGATCGCCAAAGAGAAGGAAAAAGAAGTCCAAGGTGCTCGGACGCTTTGCCCTTTCACTCAGGACGAGGCCCCGCTAGCAGGTATGAATGACGGTAGACAAAGAATGTTATAAAGATAAAATGGGTCTGTCAAGTACTTCCTCGGCCTACATCTGATATCACGGGGATCCAAGGCCGTCACTCCCAAAGACGAGTTGGGACCAAATGGTCGTTGCAGGGAAGTGCATCATGGTCGCAAAACACC